CGGGGAACCCAGTGGGAGGCAGGGTGGGAACCCTCACCAGGCCTCCGAGAGGCAGGTAGCTTTGCCGCCAAGGCCTGCTGCGTCCGTGGCTCCGTCTCCCTTCTCCCTAGCAAGTGTGAGACTTTTCCTTCCATCTTGGCTGTCCTGAGTGCTGCGGCCGGGGCCACCGCAGCGAGTGAGGGCTGGGGTCCTACTGGCCTTTCCGTGTGGCCTTCTGCCCAGCAGCTCCCATCTGGGAATGGGGAGGGGCTTCATGGAGGGCCTACTGCCTTATGGGTGGCATTCACTGCAGGGGGGTCTGGCCTGGGCTGCAGTCCTGGGTTTGCAATCAGAAGGACCTGGGCGTGACTCTCCCATGCCAGTTGCTGGCTGTGTAACCTCGGACATGGCCCCCCAACTTCTGTCACCTCTCTCTGTCCTGGGGCCTCAGCTGCCATGCAGATCACAGGCTTTTCCAGCCAGGAGGGTCTGACTTTGGAGCTCGTGACCTTGGGCAGGTGACCTCACGCCCCGTGAAATGGCTCCAGGCCCTGGGGGGCCCCGAGGGCTTTGTGGGAACCAACCTCGTGTGATCAGCCAGGGAATCGGCACGTGGCATCATGGTGGAGCTCGAGGGCCAGGCCCACACTGTGCTCAGGAGGACAGACGGCCCGGCTTGCCCCGCCCTGCCTGTGCAGCTGACCCCCAGCCACGCTGGTCTGCCTGCCGTGTGACCCTGGGGATTCACTCGCCCCTCTGGCCTCGGTTGGAAGCCGATGTGCTCAGGGCCCGCACGGTTGTGCGCCAGCCTCACCGCCAGCCTGCTGACCCGCAGAGACTTCCAGAACCCACCAGTCTGGCCTTTTCCTCCCCCCGCCCCACTCCTTTTTCTTTCCTTTCTTGTGACTTTTATCAAAGGCAAACAGCATGATCCCTGAGACGGGGCCGCTCCCAACAAAGCCTGGCCAGGCTGGCCTGTGGGAGTCACAGGGCGGGGCCGGGCGGAGTGATGGCGCCGATTAGATAAGTGGGTGCTGGGGTGACCCCACAGTGGGCACTGACTACAGATCCCACTATCTGGGGTGGCTGGACTTGGCACAGGCTGATGGCACAAACAGAGGCTGGCCCTGGCAGGCCAGAAGCCCAGCTGTGTGCAGGAGGGGCCCGGTTCCCGGTCACCGACACACCCACCGGGTGATGCCTTCACCTGCCACGTCAAGTCACACCTGGAAGCCAGACTGCCAGGGCCATGGGTCAGGTGGGGAAACTTAGGCCTGGGGAGGCCGGGGCGGCTGAGCAGAGTAGCTTCAGAAAGCAGATGAGCTGGGTGGAGCCCTGGCTCCTCTATCGGAGAGCAGCTTTGGGGTCTGGACTTGGGAGCAACTGCCCTCCCTGCTGTGTGACCCAGAGCTGGTTGCTGGAGTCTCTGGGCCTGCGGGATGAGAGCAGATGCTCCCCACAGGCTGGCATCCACATGCAGGTCAGGAATGGGCCACAGCGCCTGTGCTGGGCACTGTTACCCGAGTAGCTGAGGGAGGCCACAGGGGCCTCTAGGGCCTCAGGGGCAGAGCCAGAGCCCAGGAGTGGGGGCCAAGTCCAGGGGCAGCCTTGGGCTGCCCACCTGGTGCAGTTTCTCAGCCCATCTGGGCAACTAGGAGAGAGCAGCGCTAGCCACACCAGCAGACACACCCCATAACCTCACAGCATGAGCCCATTAGGGGACGTAATGCTGGCATCCCCTTCTCCACATGGGTAAACTGAGGCTCAGAGGACATACAACTGCTGGCAAGCCGGGCAGAGGCAGGACGTGGCGCCAGGCCTGTGGATTGCAGACCCCAAGCTCTCCCTCCCCGGGCACCCCCAAAAGGCCCTGAACTCACTCTGGCCAGACCCTCAGCCAGGCTCACCACTCTGTGGAGTGGGCCCTGAGCCTGGCCCCAGCACGCAGCGCTGAGCTCTGCTTGGTCCTCGGCCCCCACTGCTTCCCTCCCCACGGGGTGCCGTCAGAGGGTTTTAAGACCCATGTGGACGTTTGAATCATAAATAGGCAATGGCTGGAACATCTCATTTGCTGCCTTGCAGAGGCTTGGGGGTGAAATTGAATCCCAGCACGGCGTGTTTGTTCTAGAAATGGCATGTGCGGGCTTGTTTGCCTGCACAGATTAGTCCTTGTCCCAGTGCTGTGCCTGGAGTGGCGGCCCTGTGCCCCCGGCGGGGCTTACGCATGCGGCCTGGGGTTCACCCCCTCCTCGGGAGACCCGTCTAGAGATGGGGAGACTGAGGCCAGAGCGGTAAGAGTCAGCCATGGGGCCACCAGCCACTCCCTCCCACCTCAGCATCCCCTGACCCCAGGCCCCTAGGCCCCTTGGCCCCTTGGCCCCTTGGCCTCTCACCCTCACTCACGGACACCTTCACCCATTCCCAGGCCTGAGTCAGGTCCACTCCCTCCCACCTCAGCATCCCCTGACCCCAGGCCCCTTGGCCCCTTGGCCTCTCACCCTCACTCACGGACACCTTCACCCATTCCCAGGCCTGAGTCAGGTCCACTCCCTCCCACCTCAGCATCCCCTGACCCCAGGCCCCTTGGCCCCTTGGCCCCTTGGCCTCTCACCCTCACTCACGGACACCTTCACCCATTCCCAGGCCTGAGTCAGGTCCACTCCCTCCCACCTCAGCATCCCCTGACCGCAGGCCCCTTGGCCCCTTGGCCTCTCACCCTCACTCACGGACACCTTCACCCATTCCCAGGCCTGAGTCACGTCCTCAGGAGTCACCCCATCTGCCAGGAGTAGGAGGCCTCACCCGCCCCACTTTCCAGTGCAGTTATACTTCTGTCTGCAGGAACGGGCTAGAAACAGGTGGTGTGAGCAGGGGGGTGTTGAGACCACCACGGCCTCTGTGTTCACCTGCACAGGTCGTGTACCGCACAAGGGCACGGGGGCGAGCTGGGGCTGAGGTCAGCCATGCTCCCCTCACGTATCCAAGCGCCTTCTTGGCCCTGCATCCAACCCCCAAGAGGTGCCTTTCTCCTGCACAGCCTCCTGGAGACAGCAGCCTGAACCCTGGTCCAGGGAGATGGGTTGTCATGGTGACCACTGCCCTGGTCCCCAGCCCCACACCCCTCCAATCCCTGGACTCCCTGAAGGCCCCTCACCCAGCCCCCGGCCATCCCTCAGTGGTGGGTTCTGCCCCTGGGCAAGGGGAATGACCACCTTTATCAGAGCCAGGCCTCTCTGGCGGTGTGTGATACCCAGAAGGGGCAGCCGCCACGGGAAATGCCAGCCACGCTCTTATCTGGGAGACTGGGTCAGCTGGCCCTGGAGCTCCGATTAGGGAGCAGGACCGTTTGCCTGTGGGTACAGCATGGGCCGGGTAGGGTGGGCACCAGCTCTGCCCTCCCCCTTCCCCATGAGGGCAGGAGACAAGCGAGAGCCCAGAGCCGCCAGGACAGGGGCCTCGGCACCCCCGAGGTGTGTCATAGGGCAGGTGTGGACACTGTAGGCCACGCTCTTCCTACCCCTCCAGAGGCAGGCACCAGTCCCGGGTGCACAGCAGGGGCTCCCAGCGGGGCTCCATGCCCAGCAGGCCTACAGGCTCTGCTCACGAATGTTCTGGAACCTGAGGGGAAGGCACGTGACCCCCTTCCCTCTCTGAAAGGAAGTCACAGCCACTCGTGGGTCTAGATGTGCCCTCAGGAGCCTCTCAGGCCCCTTGGCCCCCCAGCCTCTCTGCCTACCAGGCCCCAGCAGGATAGAGGTTCTCGTGCAGGGCCTGCCCCACCCAGAGTTTCTGGCAGTCCAGATGGGATTCCACACACTTCCCTCTGACCCAGGCCTGGCTGTGGGGTGATGCACAGGCTCACTTGATGGTGGCACTCAGGACCTGCCAGAGGCTGGACAGAGACAGGGACAGATGGGTACACACAGGAGCTCCCCTTTAGGGAGTCTCTTCTCTCCCATGCACACCCCCAGGGGCCAGCCGGGTGGGGGTCAGAGACGCAGGTGCGGCCAGGACAGGAGGGGCTGGGCCCCCACCACCATTACATGCGGGGGTGCCTTTGGAGCCAGGCCTCCAGGTTTGGACCCCACGTGCCCCACCGCGAGCCGCGTCACCTCCAAGGGCCTCGATGTCCTCATCTGTGCAGGGGGATGACTGTTCCCAGACCCCGTAGGGCGGTGAGATGCTGTCTGGCCTGTGTGATGCTGGCATGGCTCACAGCAGTCACCCTGTGGTGCCATGCCTGCAGTGGCAGGGCAGGAGGGCGGCCTGGGGGTCAGAGCCCTGAGCCTGGACCCGGGCATTCTGGGTGGGCTGGCAGTTGTGAGGTTGGGACGGCAGAGCTGCTCCTGCCACCCCCAGCCTTCTCTTCCCCTCCTGGAGATGATAAAGGGGCTCGGGCCTCCTCGGCCTCTCAGTCCTGGTTCACTGCCATCTTATCTGCCCTGGGGAAGACAAAGACCCAGTTAAAACGTTTTAGCAGGGCCTCCCGGCGTATTTACATGTTATCTCTGCCATTAGGCAAGCAGCTATCTGATCATCAGGCCCATTAAGGCCACAGCCTGCCCAATCGGGGCTCCAGGAAGTGGGGCCGCCACAGCACTGCGGCCAGGGGACCAGGCCAGGCCACATGAGGCCTCCGTGGGCCCGGTAGCCCTGGCCACAGCAGAGTAGAGGTGGCCTGGCCTTCCCGGGCAGAGGGTGGGTAGCCTGGGAGGAGCCGCTCCCTGTTGTCCACTGAGCAGACTTAGGCTCCAGAAGGCGGGTAGGGGCCAGGCGTGTGCGTGTCCTCAGCAGCCGTGCTCAGTTAGCGTGACCTGCGGCTTCGCACAGCAAGCGTGTGTCCTCTGCCAGCCTCGAGGCTCTGAGTCCCAAGGCCAAGTGTCGGCAGCGCCAGGCGCCTTCCAGAGGTTCCCTCCTGCTGCTGTCGGCTTCTGGGGGCCCCAGGTAACCCTCAGGGCTGCATCCTGTCTCCACATCGATCTTCTCACGGCCGTCTCTGTCTCTGCTTTTCTGTCTCTTAGAAGATACTTGTCATTGGATTTAGGGCCCACCCGAGAATCCCACTGATCTCTAATCTGATTACATCTGCAAAGACCCTTTTACGGAATAAGGGTGCGTTCATAGATCGCAGGCCGATGCATCTGTTGGGGGCCACCAGTCTGTCACGACACAAACTCATGCCAGCCTTGCATTGGGCGGCCGGGCTCTGTGGGCCTGTCCACCTGCAGCCCTTGCCCAGGGACAACCACCATCTCGGGGCTCACAGCTCACTGACACCCAGCCGCCCCTGCCACTCAGCCCCAGGCCCCGAGGACTGCCACCCTCCACTGACCCTTGGGCCGACCCTGGTGGGAGGCGGGCTACACAGGCCCCAGACCGGGCACACCTCATGCCTGCCATGTCTCTCTGCAGACGAGCTGGAACCGGTGGTGCAGCGTGGGCAGAGGCATGTGCGGGCCCGACTCAGCCTCGCCGCGGGCCTGTCCTGGGGCCCGTTCCACGGGAGCATCCAGACCAGAGCCTCGTCCCCCGGGCAGGCGGAGCCGGTAAGGACCCTCCACCCCCCACCCCTGCCCACCCGCCTCATTCACACCCCCAGCCAGGCCCAGCTTAGACGCCAGCCCAGGAGCTCTGGCCAGTTGGTGTAGAGCCTGTGGGGAGATGTGGGCCTGAGACATTGGGACCTGAAGGGCAGGGAGGGATTCACTGCCTGGGGGCCCGGGGAGGCCTTCCTGTGGGAGGGGATATGGGGCCTTTGGTACCTCTAGAAGGACTTCCTGGAGGAGGGGTTCTTTAAGCAGAACCTTGACGGATGAGTGAACATTGGGGCAGAGGAGAAAGGTGTTCAGGGGAGGGAGGCCAGGCCTTGGGGTGCTGGGATGGCGGTGACTTCCTGCTGCAGCAGAGGGCAAGAGGGCGGTCCTGCGTCCGTCCCCGTGGATGCTTCTGACTCAGGCGCTGCCTTGGGCCGTGGTCTCCGTGGCCTCGACACGTGTGTCATCTCCTTGGTGATGGCCCCCGCCTAGCAGAGGCTTCCAAGCCAGCTGCTAGACCCGAGCGCCTGTGTCGTTTGTCTTGGATCTGCTTCTGAGGCTACCTCCTACCTAGGACAAGTCAGTACGGTTTCCCCCTGAGAGGGTATAATGGTTTCTTTTAAAGTACATCTCAGCTAAGAAAGGGCGCTGGTGTAGAGAAACCTGTAGGTCTGCGTGGGGCTGCGTCGTGGGCGGCGTAGGGTCCGGGGCCGGGTCTCCAGACCTTGGAAAGGCCTGCCACGGTTCCAGTCTGCAGCCCAGCAGAGGCCTCCTGGGCCGTCCACACAGCCTTTTGCAGCTGAGCAGGCAGACGCGTGTCCTGGGCCGCTCAGGGAGTCATTGGGGAGGTGGCCCAGGACAGAGAGTGTCCCCCTTCACCAGGCCCCCGAGTCTCCCACCTTGATGCTGTTTCCTTGCTATGTGTCCCCAGGCAGGCCCCTGCCCACTCTGAGTCTCCACTTCCTCAGGCTTTGGGACCCACAGGGGCGCCTAAGGCTTGGTGTCTGAGTCTGCAGACCCTGAGCAGGCAGCGTGGCAGGGCGACACACTCTTCTGTGAAGGAGGGAAGCCCATGGCACCACTGCCTGCCAGGGCAGCTGGGAGGTCACGTGAGGTGGTCAGGGTGGTGCTTGCCACAGGGCATGGCTCAGTGGGCACTGCAGCCAGCAGCCCTGCAGGAGGGGTGCCTGCCTGGCCCCATGGCCTGGGGCAGGGGTGGAAGAAGAGCTGTGGAAGATGAGTGATGGGGGACTTTGGCTCCATGGAAGGAGTCACACTTCAGCTGCCCCGCAGGAAGGAAGCCATGGTGTGGAGGTCTGGCTCTGTGGGCACGAGCCCCATCACTGTGCACACGCAAGCGGCAGCTGACCTTGCTGGGATGCTGGGATATGAGGATGTTGGCAGCATTTAATGGTTGCCAGGAGGAATGAGTGGATAGAATGGGAGCTCCGTGGCTCCCATCCCTGAACTCTCAAAGTGTCACAAAAACACATAGGTAGTGACCAGGAGCAAAGGCACAGGGGCTAAGACCACAGGCTCTGTGAGTTCCAGACACACCACACGCCCATCCTCACTTCCTTCACCCCCCAAGGGCATATCCATGTCTATGACATGGATACTGCCATCCCATTTTACAGATGAGAAACCTGAGACTCCAAGAGGCTAAGTCAATTAATTCCCCAAGTACCCAGGACCAAACAGCAGGGGAAGAATTGGAACCCACAGCTGCCTAACCCCAGAGACCCTTGAAGGCTCCCTAATGACAGGGCTGTGGGGCTGTCCAGGCCCCCCCCACTGTGGGGGTGTCCAGGCAGTCACCACCCCCACGCCAGTCCACCTGCCTCCACATTTTGTCCTGCTCTGGCCTGGGGCTCAGGCCATCCTGGGGATATGGGCACAAGGTTAGAAACCCTCCCAAGTGGGGAGATAACGTGTGGGGCAGGAGGGGAGCCGGAGCCAAGGCAGGAGGAGCCTCTGAGGCTCTGTGGGGAGCCCCGCCTCCCTGGGGAGGAAGGAGCCCCCGAGAGCTCTTCCCTCCTCTGCTTTATCTCCCGCAGAATTAAATCCTTGATTAACCCTTATCTCCCCGGCAAGGCGCTATCTCCGCCTTGGCGCCGAGCGTCCAGACACACCGTCCAAGATGATTGATTTCTTCAAGATGTGCACGCCTTTCTGATACTTCATTTATTGTCTAAATATTTTTGCATTTTAGCAGGCCCCTGTCGCTCTTGGCTGAGACGTCCCAGCCCTGTCCCCCTCACCTCACCTCTGCCCCAGAGTGTCCCAGCAGCTGCCAGTTTTTTCTCTTCTCTTTGAAGAAGGAGAAGGGGAAGGGGCACAGATGAGATGCTGTGACCCTCCCCGCTGGCCTCCACAGGCCTGGGGCTTGCTCACAGATGGGAGTGTATGGGGACAGGTGGCTTCCCCCTCATTCCCCCACCTCTGGACATGGGAGGCGGGCACCCAAGGAGGAAACTGAGTGCACAGGTCCCCTGCCGAGTCAGGAGTGTGGACTCTGGCACCAACCTGCTGTGTGACCTGGGGCAGGTCACTCCCTGATGCAGCATGCCAGGGGCCAGATGAAAGGGGCCTGAGGGGCCCAGCCAGCTTCAGAAATTATAGTCAGTGCAGAAGAGACACTCATGGTAGAGGGGTGAGTGGATGGGTGGGTGGGTGGATGGATGGATGAGTGGGTGGGTGGGTAAAAGGGATAGATAGATGGATGAGTGGGTGACTGGGTGGGTGGGTGGGTGGATGCATGGGTGGATGGATGGATGAGTGGGTGACTGGGATAGATGGATGAGTGGGTGGGTGGGTAAAAGGGATAGATAGATGGATGAGTGGGTGACTGGGTGGGTGGGTGGGTGGGTGGATGCATGGGTGGATGGATAGGTAGAAGGATGGTAGATAAGTGGATGGATGGGTGGATAACGGATAGATACATGATGTGAGTGGATGGATGAGCAGGTGGGTAGATAGATGGATGAATGAATGGGTGGGTGGCTGAGAGGGTGGGTGGGTGGGTGGGTGGATGGATAGGTGGGTAGATGGATGGATGGGTGGGGGGGTGGATGGATGGGTGGGGGGTGGATGGACAGACGGACTGGCGGGTGGGTTGGTGGGTGGATGCATAGGTGGATGGATAGATGAACAGATGGATGGATGGATGGATGATGGATGGATGGGTAAATGGATGGGTGGGTGGGTGGATAGGTGGGTAGATAGATGGATGAATGAATGGGCGGGTGGCTGAGAGGGTGGGTGGGTGGGTGGATGGATAGGTGGGTAGATGGATGGATGGGTGGGGGGGTGGATGGACAGATGGACAGATGGACTGGCGGGTGGGTTGGTGGGTGGATGCATAGGTGGATGGATAGATGAACAGATGGATGGATGGATGGATGATGGATGGATGGATGGATGGGTAAATGGATGGGTGGGTGGGTGGATGGATGGGGGGTAGATGGATAGGTGGGTGGGTGGATGATGGGTGGATGGGTGGGTGGGTGGGTAAGTGGATGGATAGGTGGTGGATGGATGGGCATATGGCCTGAGGCCCAACCCCAGTGAAAACTGAAGGGAGAGTGCTTGACTGAGCTCCCCAAGCCTGGCTTTCCCCTGCTATGAGGACAGGTTCTGCCATGGCGATGACACCTGATGCCAGGCTCTGGAACTCCCTGCACGGTTTGAGAGGACTCCCCAGACCCTATGGTGTCTCCAGAAGTCCTAGCCCCATCTCCAGATAAGAGAACCTCAGGCCATCATGGGTCAGGGACCCCCTGCTAAGTTCTCCTGAGCACAAACCATTTCTTATGTGGAATTGTGTTCTGAGTTATATTTTATTCCGGAAAAAAGAAGTCAGAAATGAAGGCGTGGGAAAGGCTGGGGGCCTCTGAGGCAGAATCTGCGGCCCCAGTGACCCTTGGCTTGGGGACGCCTCACCCCATTCTCCCTGTCTTCATAGGGCTTTCTCTGCCTTCTCCTCTCTTTTGAAGACAGGAGCCATTGTACTTAGGCCCACCCTAATCCACGATGGCCTCTTGGAATTTATAACTTACCCCACCAGCAAGAACCCTTCTTCAAAATAAGGTCATGTTCACAGGCTCTGGGTGGACATCTTTGGGGACCAACATTCAGCCCACGGCTGGACTAGCAAGGGACAGATCTGGGGCTCAGCCAGACAGCTCCTGCACCTCTGTAAGCAGCCCCTAAGGGGCCAGGCAGGTCCAGCCCTGGCTACAGAAGGCCATGGAGGAAGCAGATGAGGTGCCCTGCAGCCTGTGGGCACTCTGGTGGTGGGAGACAGGACAGCATCCAGGCCAGGCCTGCCACTGCCTTCGCTGGGTCTGTGGACCTTTCCTCTCCATGTCTCTTGCTGGTCGGTGTCCATGCCTCAGTTTCCCTGCCAGCAGTGGTAGGAGCTGGGCAAGTGTCGCAGGATCTGGGAGGCACCAAAAATGTGAAGAGGCCCTGGAACCCCTTCCAACACCTTAGAAAGACTGAGCTATGGGTAGGAGCAGCCTGTCCTTCCCCGGCCCCGACTACCCCACCCCTGGAGCAAGGAATGGAACTTGCCGGGGTCCCTGCATCTGACACCTTTGGAGGGCCAGCACAGCACCTGGCAGTTTCCCAATATCCAGAACCCAGGCACATTGCCGTGACCTGGCATTGCAGTTCCCTCCCTTGTGCAGTTCCTTCCCCTGCGCAGTTCCCTCCCCTGCGCAGTTCCCTACCTGTGCAGTTCCCTCCCCTGCGCAGTTCCCTGTGCAGTTCCCTCCCTGTGCAGTTCCCTCCCCTGCTCAGTTCCCTGCTCAGTTCCCTCCCCTGCGCAGTTCCCTGTGCAGTTCCCTCCCTTGTGCAGTTCCTTCCCCTGCGCAGTTCCCTCCCCTGCGCAGTTCCCTACCTGTGCAGTTCCCTCCCCTGCGCAGTTCCCTGTGCAGTTCCCTCCCCTGCGCAGTTCCCTGTGCAGTTCCCTCCCTGTGCAGTTCCCTCCCCTGCGCAGTTCCCTCCCT